CTCTCTGCCCCTCCCCACTCATACTCTGTCTCTCTCTCTGCCTCTCAAAGATGAATAAATGCTAAAAATTTTTTGAAAATTAAGTTATAATCAAGCTAATGAACTGGTAAACAAAGTATCTTCTATCCTCTTACTGTAACAAATATACTTCCATGGCAATACATTTTTTTAAATGTGTAAAGCTCTGGCTTTTATATGACATCCCTAAGATGTGCATTTTAATTATTCTGTAACAATGCTTTTGTTCTTCCTATATTCTAGCAAAATCTAGAATCATGTTATTATTATTTAGATTGTCATATGATTTGCATTCTATTGATAGAATGTCAAATTAGACTACTTTTCTTAACTCACTCTTAGTTTCTTCTTGTTTTCAATTTGGGAAAAAACCTTCATTGTGTTGATGAAGAACCATCAATGAAATTCTTAAGGCAATGTTTGGACTCAGAAATGAACTATGAATTTTCCATGTCCTGTTCAATTCATACAATGGAGTCATATAAGTTAAATTCTTTTTATCATATAAAAAATTAGGGGGTGCCTGGGTGGCTCAGTTGGGTAAGCATCCAACTCTTGATATCAGCTCAGGTCCTGATCTCACCATCGTAGATCAGGTTCCATACTGAGAGCCTGCTTGGGATTTTCTCTCTCTCTCTCTCTGCTCCTCCCCTACTCCCTCTCTCTCTCAAAAAAAATAAACATTTTAAAAAGTTAGAAAATATTTTTTAAAAACTTCTTTAATATTTGTTTGTTTATTTTTTGAGAGAGAGAGAGACAGAGACAGAGTGTGAGCTGGGGAGGGGCAGAGACAGAGGGAGACACAGAATCTGAAGCAGGCTCCAGGCTCTGAGCTGTCAGCACAGAGCCTGCTATGGGGCTCAAACTCATGAACCATGAGATCATGACCTGAGCCAAAGTCGGTGGCTTAACTGACTGAGCTACCCTGGTGCCTCAAAATAGAAAATATTTTAATTTTATTATTAAAATCACTATAATTTATATTACTCTATTATCTCTTTAAGCAATATATAAACCTTTATGTTATTTCTTAACTCCAAGTTAGTTAACACGTAGTGTAGTATTGGTTTCAGGAACAGAATTTAGTGATTCATCACTTACATATGACACCTAGGGCTCATCACAAGTGCCCTTCTGAATGCCCATCACCCATCTAGCCCATCCCCCAACTGCTAGGCCATAGATTAGTTCTATTTTTAAGTTTTTGAAGAACCTCCAGACTTTTCCAGAGTGGCTGCACCAGTTTCCATTCCCATCAATAACGTGTAAGTATTGCCCTTTCTCCACATCCTTGCCAACATCTGTTGTATCCTGGGTTGTTAGTTTCAGCCATTCTGACAGGTGTGAGGTGGTATCCCATTGTGGTTTTGACTTATATTTCCCTGATGATGAGTGATGTTGAACATCTTTTCATGTGTCTATCTCAGTGACTTTGGAAAGGTGTCTGTTCATGTGTTCTGCCATTTCTTCACTGGATTATTTGTTTTTTGAGTGTTGAGTTTGAGAAGTTCTCCGTAGATTTTGGATACTAACACTTTATCCAATATGTCATTTGCAAATATCTTTTCCCATTCTGTCAGTTGCCTTTTAGTTTTGTTGATTGTTTCCTTCACTGTGCAGAAGCTTTTACTCATGATGAGGTCCCAACAGTTCCTTTTTGCTTTTGTTCCCTTGCCTCTGGAGACATGTCTGGTAAGAAGGTGTTGTGGCTGAGGTCAAAGAGGTTGCTGCCAGTTTTCCCCTCAAGGATTTTTTAATGCAATATAAAAAGAAAACTGAAAATAATGGGGCTCCTAGGTGGCTCAAGCAGTTAAGTGACTCTTAATTTCAGCTCAGGTCAGGATTCTATGATTCATGGAATCGAGCTGTCAATGCAGAGCCTGCTTGAGATTCTCTCTCTCCCCCCTTCTCTCTGCCTCTACACATGCTGGTACTCTTTCTCTAAAAATAAATAAATAAACATTTAAAAAAAGAAAATTGAGGGGTGCTTGGGTGACTCAGTCGGTTAAGTGTCCGACTTCGGCTCAGGTCATGATCTCACAGTTCGTGGGTTCGAGCCCCGCATCGGGCTCTGTGCTGACAGCTAGCTCAGAGCCTGGAGCCTGCTTCAGATTCTGTATCTCCTTCTCTCTCTGACTCTCCTCTGCTCATGCTGTCTCTCAATTTCTCTCTCTCTCACTCTCTCATAAATAAATAAAACATTAAAAGAAAGAAAGAAAGAAAATTGAGAATAATAGTACATTACTCAGTACTTAACTGTGTCTTCATTTAAGACTATACTTTCAACCAAATGGCCAGAAAATAGTCCCCATCAGAAATTAGTGTCAGGACTAATGGCTCATCTCAAGGCCTATCATCCTGGAATACACCTTCTCTGAGTTCAGTTGGACTTCTCATTCCCAGAAGTATATTTCCAGAATCCTAGCTTCATTACGTGCTCTCACTAGATTGGTAGTTTACTGTGGTTTACAATTCCACAGTCATTCCTATTCAGAATATAGAAGGCATAGTGACACTGGGTCTCCAGCAATGATATCAGGAAGTCCAATACCACTTCAGTTCTAGTTCCCTTATATATAACCCATCTGATTACTCTCAGAGATTTTTAAACAGTGTTTTTCTCCGATATTTGCATAGCTGGCTCCTCTTTCTCATTATCCAATTCTCTGCTGACCTCTGGAGGGACCTTTGTCGATCAGTCAAAGAAGCCCCCACATGTCACTCCCACATCACCATATTTCATTTTCATCAAAGTATTGCTATGTGATATTTTATTGTTTTACTTTTTTCTATGTTGTCTACTAAATAAACCATAAGCTTCACAAGAATTCATTTGCTTCTGAATCCCCAGTGCCCAGGACAATGAGCAGGTACTCAATAAATGCTTATTGAGTAAATGAACGAAAGCCTGTGTACTAGCACTACTACCAGAAACAGAGTAAGAATAGCTTTTCAACTGGTATTTCTAAATTACGTGAAACAAGACCATGTTCAGGATCCCATTTTTGTCAGGGTGCTAATATTTACCACAAACACATCTTCTGGCCATAGTAAATCATAAATTAGGAGCCCGAAAACTCTAAAATTAAAATTAAATTTTCAAGCAGTTTCATTTATTTGCCCTCAGAAAGCAACAGCCTAGGATCAAATTATCTTCTACCCCATTGAAAATTAATAGTTATCGTCAAGAGTTAAATTAAGAGTTATCAAGTCAAGAGTTAAATTAATATTTATCAAGAGTTAATGTCATCATCTTGATTCTAGTAGAGAATTTGTGACCTGAGGAAGGCAATCCAGCAAGAATGCAGGCTTCAGCATCAGATGGCCTCAATCCTGATCCAACTTTGCCACGTAGGAGCTGTGTGTCCTTGGGGTGGTTATTTAACCTCTCAAAGCTACAGTCTTTGAATTATGACAGTACCTATCTCTTAAACTATGATGAGTGACCACAGAGGCCATTCATTTAATTCTCAGCACAGTCTCTGAGCATTAATAAATGTTAGCTATAATTATTGTAAGAAATTATCTATTTGAACATTTCATATTCTTTGCAAAATCTTGGCTGAAAACATTATTCATTACATTGCATGAAATAATTTCCTCTCTTAGCTTAGTGCTAACACAAAACTGCCTCTTCAAACACACTTGAGATTTTCCTTAATCAGGTGGAGCAAAGTATATGACCGATCATGTTTTCTTTCCAGAAGGAAACTCAGGTCATATGCCATAATAACCTCTTCAGATATTTTTTTTCTACTTAATTGTTTTTTCCTAGGCTTTCCTTGATTTTATTTTCAATGTTTCTTTTTTATATCATGTTTTACTTTGTAGCTTCTGGATCTATTTACCAGCTGGGTGACCCTGCAGAAGTTATTTAACATCTAAAGTCCCATTTTCTTCATCTGTCAATGAGAATTGTTGTGAACACGAATGATACTGTCACCCTAGCACTCCTTTTTCCTAAACAGTCCTCTACTCCATCCATATGCCCTGACAGCCATACAAGGGGCCCAACTCTCTGTTAGTCTAGAAGGGGACATCTAATGAAAGCCGGACGAAGGAGACAGTTGCCAGGAATTTTGTATTTAGGACTGAAAGAGTCAGGTCAATTTCCTTCTAGTGGCTGAAATTATAAGACAGAAATCTCAGGAGTTGCTAGTGGCTGTGTTTTCCCCCTATGGAAGGAACCACTGCAAAGTGCAGAATGACTCTAAGACACGGAAGAGAGGGAGGCAAAGGAGTTCTGCAGGTTCTAATGGTTCCTAGGTTCTCACTCTTCCTATAGCCTGGCTGTTCCATTAGACAATCCACTATCTCTCCAATAAAGTCTCCTTTCTGCATACATAATTTGGGTTTGGTTCCCATCATTTGAAACTGAAACAGTTCTAAGATGTAAAAAATAAACCCTACTTTGAATAATTGCTATAAAAAGTAAATGAGACAAAACAATTAAGTGCCTAGCATATTACCTGGCAAATAATACTCAAGAAATGATACCTATTAACATTATTTAGAAGATGGGGATGCAAATTCTAAATCAATTAATTAATGAACACAATTTTAATAGCTTACAAATCTTGTTTCTTGAGGTTTCAAAATTATTCCATGGGATTCTTTGGTTTTGAATCTTGAAAGAATTGCAAAATAAGAGAAATGCTCTGATTAACTTTGCTACATATCACTGTACATATAAATCTGAGTAGCTCATACATATAGTTAAATGATCTTAGGGAATAGTGAAGTCTCAGATCCAGTAACCCACAATTTCTTGCTTAACTCACTTGTTTAGAGTAATATAGGGAGGAAAATTGTAAACAGAATACAAACTTACATTCCACTTATTTCCACATATACAAGAATAAGTGAGACGCATTTAAGTGTATAAATGTTGATGTGGTTGCATTTTATAACTTATTGTATAAGTAAGTCTTTACATTGTATAAAGGATGCAATACAGTAAGGAGAAAATGGAGTTGCCATACCTGGAGAGATACCACGCTGACATTATCAAAATGGATGTGTCCATTAGGTTCTGTGACAGCCGGATTTGCATAACATGTCACACCATTGATTGCAGGTAACGTTTTAGGTTGATGAGTTTTCTCATGAGAAGGACCAAAGTCATCACTTGCAAAGTGGGTATGATCATTCTACATGAAAAAAATTTTTAAAGGAAGAGGAGGTTATAAGAAGACAAAATGGTGGTTCACACTTCCAAGAAAGTAGGGAGTCTAGTGATTTTTATTTGTAAGAGAAAATCTATATGACTATTCAATATGTAATCTTTTTAGATTTAAAATGTATCTTCGGGGCGCCTGGGTGGCTTAGTCGGTTAAGCGTCCGACTTTCGCTTAGGTCATGATCTCGCAGTTCGTGGGTTCGGGCCCTGCATCGGGCTCTGTGCAGACTGCCGGCTCGGAGCCTGGAGCCTGTTTCAGTCTGTGACTCCCTCTCTCTCTGATCCTCCCCTGCTCATGCTGTCTCTCTCTCTCTCTCCTAGAAATAAATAAAACATTTAAAAAAATAAAAATAAAATGTATCTTCATTTATTAGATTTTGTTTTTTTCTGTTTGTTCATGTTAGGGTAAATATGCCTTCTTATTTTGATGAACATGAATGAACACAAATTGTGCACCATTTTTTTGGCATTGAATTGTTGGCACTTATTCCAATTCTACACTATGAATCAAGTGTTCTCTTATACTTATTAATATATTGACTCTTCCTTCTCCTCACATTCACAAGCCTAGTAACTGAGCTGTTCATAGAATTATAAAAATAAAATTCCAGGGACACCTGGGTGGCTCAGTTGGTTAAGAGTCTAACTTCAGCTCAGGTCATGATCTCAGGGTTCATGGGTTCAAGCCCTGCATTGGGCTCTGCTCTGACAGCTCAAAGCCTGGAGCCTGCTTCAGATTCTGTGTCTCCCTCTCTCAACCTCTCCCCAACTTATGCTCTGTCTCTCTCTCTCTCAAAAATAAATAAAACATTTTTTAAAAAGAATAAAATTCCTGCCTTTATATTCCTATAAAGCTATATATAAAGTAGATATAGGAAGTCAAACATCAAATATTTTAAATAAAATCTATTTACCTGACCATATGCCTTTAATAACATCTTAAGCACTCTTTCAAAAAAGAAAAGTAGGTAAAAACCACCAAACACAGCAACTGCCTTCTCAACATAGTTGTCACTTTTGGGATTGAACCCAAATGCCTAAGAGAGAAAAAAAGTTCAGATTTTTAGAAAATAATACCAAAATCTTTTAGTATACAATTTTTACCAAAGTTCTAAGTCCATCTTCAGATAAGTTAATATTGGGAATATACCCACCAAAATTACAAAACAAAAACTCTGAAATTTAAGTAACTAAATTATAAACAGAGAAAGTTTTGTTAATTAAAACCCCAGAGTATCTTCTAGTTTCCTGGCTATCTCCTTCAGCAATATTTACCTTGAAAGAGAAAGGTTTTAGTGGTCAAAAAGAAGCACTGATTCACATCTTTATACATATTAAATCTAGGTAATTAAAAAAAATGAGACATTGATAATCCATTTTCTCTTAAAAGTAATGTATTTGTCCATCATATCCAGAGTTGAATTTTTAAAGCAAATATGGCAAAGTCATTTGGATTACTGTTTTCCCAAGAGAGACCTTTTAAAACCTAGAGGATCCTGATAGGTCCTAAAGAGATAAAGAATGCAAGGGTTGGCCCCAAGAATAAAGAAGAAAAGAAAGATTTTCACATGCACACACACACACACACACACACACACACACACACACGAGAATGAAATAATCTACTGTTTAAAGGACATAGAGTAAGAACTAGAGTTTCAAATTATAAAGAGCCAAGGTGTTCCTAAGAAACAAGAAACATAAACTTAAGTAAAAGCTATAATAAATGTATGAGGACATTTTGTGGTATATCATCAGTAATCTGACATTGCATGCTCTTTAGAAAAATAAATAAATAATAAAAGTATGTGGAAAAATTAAATTCTCCAAATGCAAGACAAAAAAAAAGTTTTAAAGCCCTCAGAGGTGTCCCAGAGCTGTCTGGGCACGTCCTGGTGGCTGGCCTCCTAGAATATTAATTTTATCTCCGACACTAACATCCCCTGTAGCTTTAGACAAGCTTTTTCTTCTGCTGTGATTCAGCTTTCTCTTATCCAACACTATCAAGCAGACCATAAAATGCTGTGATAATTATGGAGCCTTAAAATGTACAAAGTGCTGAAACATTTAAAAGAAACAATTATTCACAGACATAAATAGCCAATGTCCTTACCTCTGGAATAAGCTGGAAAATAGCATTTGAAAATAGAGTCCCAATAGCCAGACCCACAAAAAATGTCAAAATCTTAGGGAAATAAGATTTCTTTATCAATGGAGTCAAAACCAATCCGAGGAGAGATGCCAGATTAATAATTGTCACCGACAGGAATCCATATCCCCAAACTGTAGATGAGAGGAAAAGAGTAGCAATTAATCAAAGCAAAGGCGCCAAATGAAGTCTTACTGTACAGTAAACTTGAAACACCTTGTTTCTTTAAAAGCTCGAAATAGGTATCTTCTTTAAAACAACAAAATCTTCTCAATGAAAATATACAGAAAACTGTCAACATTACTATAGAATAATAAATATTCATAGTAACAGTTTAACTTCACTAAACACTTTAGCTTCAAAGTGACCATAGTTGCTTACACTGAGCTTGTCATAAGCACTTGTCTGCAGGTGCCTGTAGAGGGCACCTTGGAAAGGCAGCCCCTCGGCCCTCCAGCCGGAGCCTCCAGGACCCAGACTCAGCCAAGTGCCATGAGCACTCAGGAGGGCAGCACGAGGAAGCCAGAGTGGAGATGCATTGCATAACTGGAGCTGCCGAGTTCAGATTAAGGCAAAACGATCCTAGAAAGTGAAGACTCTGGTGACAGAAGGAGTGACAAGTCTTTCATCCCTATCTCTAAGGCCTGGTGCTCAATAGGTGCTTAATAAATGTTGCTTACGATGAAATGAATGAATGTTATCCTAAGCCATACAGCTAATGGCATATGTGACCTCAATTTCCTCCAGATTGTCCTAGAGGGGTGGTTCCAGGACATACTTGGAGTGCAGGTGAAGCATGCTGTGTGACCCCAGGACAGTCACGGATGGCAGTGTGGGCTGACATACAAATGGGCCCCTGGAACCGTGCAACACATGGCTTTGCCTATGTCTCCCACACTGTGCACGAAAGACAACATAAAAGGCTAGAAAGCTGCCTCTGCATTGCCACTTCTTTAAAATGTGCAGAAAACATTTTTAAATGTTAGGCCTCTTTTCTCAATGGCACCCTCAGTAGAGCACCATAGTAACACTTAATGCTTACGAGTGTTTGCCATTGCCAGGTACTCTGCTAAGAAACTGATGTGTATTTAATCCTCACAAAACCCTGTGAGGTAAGTTCAGGTAGTACCTCCTCATACAGTTGAGGAAACCAAGACATATGGAGTTCAAGTGAGCTGCCCAAGTCATGTAGCTAGGAAGCTGGATTGTGAGCCCAGGCAGTCTGGCTCCAAGACCAACATAGTTTAGCAATATGCTTCCTTACTCCTGTAGAAGTATTCTAATTTTCAAAAAAACCAAGGGACTCAACAAATCTATAAAGATTTAATATTGTGCTTCCTAAATACAAGATTGCTCACCATTATTCTAGTTCAAGCGATTCTATCTAAAAACAATCTGGGGTGCCTGGGTGGCTCAGTCGGTTAAGATTCCGACTTCGGCTCAGGTCATGATCTTGTGGTTTGTGGGTTTGAGCCCTGCATCAGGCTCTGTGCTGACAGCTCAGAGCCTGGAGCCTGTCTTCAGATTGTGTCTCCCTCTCTCTCTCTGCCCCTCCCCCGCTCATGCTCTGTCTCTCTTTGTCTCAAAAATAAATAAACATTTAAAAAAATTTATCAGGGTGCCTGTGTACCTCAGTCGGTTAAGTGTCTGACTTCGGCTCAGGTCATGATCTCATGGTTCATGGGTTGGAGCCCCACATCAGGCTCTGTGCTGAATGTTTGCTCAGAGCCTGGAGCCTGCTTTGGATTCTGTGTTTCCTTCTCTCTCTGCCCCTCCCCCCCTCACACTCTGTCTCACTCTGTCTCTCAAAAATAAATAAATGTTAAAAAAATGTTTTTTAATTTATAAAAACAATCTTATCAAATGTTTATGGAGCCTCGGATATAGACCAAACCATGGTTCTTGCCAACAAGGAACATGGATCTTTTGCTTGGAGTACTGGGAAAGGGGTAGGCACAGGCACACACAAAGCAATACAAGTTAGTTTGTGCAGCATACCAAATGAAATGAACAGAAAATAAATGTTACTGTTGCCACAAGAATCATCACAGCACTGACCATGACTTTATCTTCTCCAGATGCTTTCCTATCAGTTCCAGACCCCTGACCGGGCCCTGCAAAGTCATCTCATTGGAACTACAAAGGTCCACCTCATTCCCATTCACTACCTTATCACCTAACACAAGATACCTACTCCCCTCAGACTTTCCATGTAGAGAAAGCTCTCCATCCCCATATCTCCCTCTATGGTATATTGATGTGTAGTTCCCCTTAACACAAATAGTCTTCTATCACTTCACAAGTCTATATGCATGCATTCATTCAACAAACATTTATAATCTCATTGGGTAAACAGGAAAGGTACATGCTGAAACTAAAATAAAAATGCACAGTTTTTGAGTACCAAAGTAAGGCAAAACCACATACACATACTAAATACATCCACCTTCCCCTAAGAAATCTGTAATTTCCATAGATAGCAGAAGTGTTAGGATCAATGTCAATTTGTCACCAAACCAGTCAATTTCATAGATAATTGGTGACCAAACACTATCAATTTTTCTTGAGACCTCTCTCACTCTAGCTTCTCCATCCTCATTGCCAGTGCCTTGAGTTGAGGCCCTCGGCCTCTCCCACTTCCTCTTCTGATGCATTATGAGTCTTCTGTCTGATCTTCCTCCCCCTACTTGACATGGCCCCCAGACTTACATCCTAAAACACAAGATCATCTCATGCCCCTATTCAAAACTGCTGTTCATAAACTGACTCCCACACAACTTCTCCAGTGTTATTTACATGCTTCTCAACATGGCCTTTATGCTAACATAATGCTTTCCAAGTACAGAATTACTTTACTTGTAGTTCTCTATCTGAAAAGATCTTTCTACTTTTCATTGCCTAAGAAAGTCACACGTGTTTCTCTAAATCAACCACAAAGCCTCTTCTATGAAACCTTCCTAGCTCCTCCAGGTGGCTGTCCCTTCCTCCTCGAGGTCTCCATGGCTCTTTGATTAAAGGTAATTGGGCCACCAACCATATCTTGTGTGCTAACCTAGTTCTATCACTTTTATAATTGTCTACATTATACAAATTAAGAAATTTTCAAAAAGAGCTATTTTTTTTCATTCTCAGTGCCTAGAATATTGCCCAGCAAATAGCACACATTTTTTAATGAATGAATTCATGAATGTCATATTTCATGGTACAGCCCAGAACTCTTGCCAAAAAAAGAAAAAAAAATCATTTGCCTATCTAATCTTTCCAACCTTAGTCACTATTGTATATATTTATCAGAACTAGTTGGGGAAGTTTGGGAATATGAATCATCACCTTCTAAGCAAACTACATAGCTTCCTCTTCTTATGTTGTTAGGACATTATTAAAGAAAAAAAGTTCCATTCATCCACTCAACTGGGGCACCAAAGAATAAATTGCTATAAGAAATTTACTTGGGCCTCTCCATATATACATAGGACTCTCTCTAATGATCTGATTCAAAGAGGATCTTTTCTCTCTGCTTCTTAGTGAATTCTGAAAGATTTTATAAATTTCCAAGGAAAATTGGTAACAAGAGCTACCATTTATTGAAAGACCACTGTTTGTTAAGATTCTTCTAAAAACTGCATCTACTCTAACTCATTGAATCCTCCTATTTCATAGAGTTTTTACAAAAATAAAATAAAGCCAGTTAATGTTGTCCCTGGTATATATAGTAAGCCTCTAATACATATCATTATAATATAAAAAATGATAAATTAGTAAGCAGACCACCATATAAATTTCAGCTCATTTAACTCATTGTTATATAGTTAAAGAACTAGGAGTGAGGAGCCCTCTCCTCCTTCCTCAGATATTCCTCCTGGAGGAAGCCATTCAACATCTCTGGAGCTTAGACTTATGTTACCGGTTCTACTACAGAACTGGACAATGTGATCTCCAGGGATGCTACAAGTAAACTTCTATTGTGCTTACTTACTATTTGAATTAAATAGCATTCGGTGACCCCATCAAAAAAAAAAATGCACCAATTTTGGATCATTAAATTACTGCTAAAACAATTAGTCTATTTCTTAGAGAATTTAATTTATTATCCATTTATGGTATCCATCAATAAGAGCTTATAAAGCACCTGAAAGGCAATTTCAAAATCACAAAATATGAGGTCTCTGATATATGAGACTATTTTATCTGTCCACTGAAATGTCAGTGTAAACATGTGTATAAAATCCTTATATCATGACTCCTTTGGATTAGTTTTATTTTGGTTTTCATTCCTTTGAATGAACTCAGAATTGAGTCTACATTAAGTAAACAGTTACATCAAGAATCAAGTGCATTTCATTACTTAAAAGAATAGGCTTACACAGGGAGCATGGAATGGAGTAAACCTATGAAAAATTTTAAGAGAAATAAATATAGTCTTCCTTCTCTGTGCCAGGCACTGTTCTAGGCACTTGCATATATTAACACATTTGATACCTCCAATAATTCTAGAAGGAAGGTACTATAGTTATCTCTTTTTTACAGGTGAGATATCTGAGGCACAGAGATATTAAATAAATTGCTCAACACAGAAGCACACATAGTTGCACTAAAATAAAACAAGATAGTGCACCAAATAAAGGCAATATAGTGTCAAATGAAACTTCATAGATTAATGAGTACTCTACCAGTTACCTTAATTCTCCAGAAATTTTTCTCTATCTTCTCCCACTGGATCCCACCCACTCCAGCCCCATTTCAATTCCTAAGATAATATATACCCTAAGACCCAGTTCTTTCTTGGGTCTCTGTCCAAATATCTGGTGCGTGTTTAATCTTGTAACTTAGAACTATTGATTTTTCATTTTATGACTTTGTAGTGTTGACCCTGGAATTCCCTCACTTCCTGCTTCCCAATTCCCTGTTCCTACTTCCTGGTTACTGAGATAGAGGAAACCTGGGAGTTAGGGTCAAAGACACTTTTGAATGTCAGTCACTAATATGAAGAGTAGAGGACTTGCTTTTCTGAAGTTTCATCTCCTATACCCAGAATTATGTACATGGTAGATATATTTTACTTAACAGACATATACATAGTGCCTAAGCAAATGCTATATTATACTCTATATGCTTCACAAATATTATTTCATCCTTATAGCAACCCTACAAGAAAGGTACTGTTTTAGATAAGAAAACTGAGGCAGAAAGACATAGTCATGTGCCCAAAAATAGCTGGAAAATTACAGAGCTGGGATTTGAGTCCAGGTGGGCTGGCCTCAGAATCTATACTTTTATTATGTTACACTATCATTAATGTTAATATATAAAGCATTTTCTGAATTTACTTTGGAATATAAAATGCAAAGTACATTAAACAAACTTGTAGAACTACAAACACATTCCTATTTAGTATATAATCTAGAAAAAATATTTGCCTAAACAATTAGCTGTGAAATTATTGTTATTCACAAAATTGCTAATTATATTGATAAAGTATATTTGGGGATTTCTATTCTACATGTGTGTAAATATAGAATATGAAAGAGAACATGGGTCTGGAAGCTGAGATGGCCAGGTTTGAAGAAGGCTCTATCATGTGCAAGTTGTATACTCCTGAGCAAATGACTTTATACTCCCTGTATATATGTTTCCTTGGCTGCAAATGGGAATTGCAGTTCCTACATTACTGAGTTGTATGAAGATTAAATGAGTCAACATAGATCAAGTATTTGGAACAGTACTCATCCACGTAGTAAGTACTACATATTCATATATACCAAAGGAATCTAAAAGTCAGTAGAATAAGCACTTCCTCTGTTGAGGTGTCCCTTTTCTTCTCTATCTTCTCTCTCTTTATATTCTTTTATACTCAGGTTAGATGTACTCACTCAGACCAGTGGTTTCAAATGTCATTTCTAACATGACAAATCTCTAGCCTTGTCTTGATGTCTGAGCACTAAATGTGTGCATGCTACTGTCTACTGTACACTCTTCTTGGTGGTCTACGTCAATGTCTAAAACTGACCATGTGAAAAATTATACCCAAGCTTCACCACTTGCTTCCTCCATAAGAAACTGCTGCTCTCAGTTTTCTCCAGTTGAGGAAATGGCACAAACTCCTCCCTGGTTTCAGTGGCTCAAAACTTGATTCATCTTTCCCAACCCCCACATCAACTCCAGTGGCAAATCCATGTTAGCACAGTTTCCAAAATCCATTCTGGATCTGATCACTTCTCCTCCTTTCTACTCTCCCATCTCAGCCGAAATCCGCATCATCCTCAGCACCAGCCCTGGGAAAATTTTCTTGCATCTACTCATACCCCATTACAATCTATTCTTCAAACTGCAGGTAGAATAATCCTATACAAATCCAAACAAAATCATGTCACTCCCCCATTTAGAACCCTACAGTATCTTCATACCACATTCAGAATAAATCCAGTCAATTTACTGCATTCTGAAAGGGCCAGGGCACCATTTCCTTCTATTCTCCCTCTTGCTTATTATGCTCCAGACACACAAGCTTTCTTGCAGTTCCCTACATACGCCAAGCTTGTTGTCAAGCTTATGGAGACTGTTCCCTTGACCAAGAATGTTCTTTTCCCAGAGAAGATCTTGCCATGGTTCTCTCCTTGCCCTCAGGGAGGGCCCTGCTCAAACGTAATCTCATCAGAAAGGCCTCCTCTGACTTATTGAAAATCACACTTGCCCACTGTCTCCTTCTATCCCTTACCTACTTAATTTCTTCATAGCACTGATCACTCTGAAATTACATTATCTATTTGCTTGTTTGAATAAATGTTTATTATTTCTCTTTTCCATTACACTGTAAGCCCTAAAAAGGCAGAGAATTTTTCTTCTTTGCTACTGAATCCTCAGTGCCCAGAACAGCATTTGGCATGTCATTCAGTAAACATTTATTGAATGAACAATGTACAAAAAAATGAGAATTAAAATATCCATGTCGGTCAGGTTAATGATTTGAGAGTACCAAGAAACTGCACATAGCTGGCAAACAGACCCATGGAAGAAGTGGTTTATCTTATTTGGAAAAGAATTCTTCTACATGTTTAAGTATATGAACTATACAGTAAGCATGCACTTGTTTTCTCAGATTTTAGAATTTCTTTGCAGCAGGTTATTCCTTTGAATTACACTACTTATGGCAATACTATTACAGGCAGTTTAAAAAATAGTCACTGACATTTTCCTACGTTAATGAAAATTAAAGCTGTAATAACTCAGTACCTTAATGTTTAATCTAAATGGGATATTCCCTTATCCCTTTACTAAAAATTACAGATAAATTGATAAGCTCTTAAACAATAAGATAAGCACAAGGTAATGGAAATCACCAGATCATTTATGAGCCAAATAGTTAACGCACAATCCAGCATGTACAGTATAAAGCAAATATTGTTTAAAATCAAGAACTGAGTTTTATAAAGTTTTTAAGTGGTACCAAATATAACTTTGACTCCACAAATAGAAGAGAACAATTTATGAAGCTTAAATAAGTTCTAATTATTCATATTCTAAACTTTCAGAGTATAAGTATTTTACCAAGGGCTTCTTATACAGCTTTTTAAAAAAAACAACAAAGCAGTGAAAGAAGCATGTTGATTTAATTTCAGACTAGCCTATAGGCTTTTCAAACAAACAGGAGAAAAAAACTTCCAACATACCTTCTGAAATATTTGGTTTTGTTTTGTGTTTGGGCCGATCCTCACAAGGATGAAAGTTCAGTTGTTGTAAGACCGCTGGACAGATGACAGAGAAGTTAGAGCTGCTTATCTGGGTAGTATTTGAAAAGCCATGAAGGGAAAAGATCTCTTGAGCTGATAGACACTGAAACAAGAGAAACAAAGTAAACATATGTGTTAACATAGTAAAAGCATGCAAGCGAAGATACCATAAGGAGACGCAGGATACTTTATCTAGACACACAGCAGTAACTTTACACAAAAGCCCCAAATTTTAAAACAACCCACACCTCTTTAAACCTAGAAACAAGAAAAAAATAGCAACAACAACAACAAAAAACCCAGACAAACAACAAAAACAACAAAAAACTCTTCTTGAGCGGCATTCTACCTATAGCAGCCCAAAAGGTAAGAACTAGTTTGGGGATTTCCAAGAACTTTAAAAATATAAAAAGTGGACCAATAGGTTCCAAACAGTTTTAAAATCATTCTACATTCTCAGTCTCCCCTCTCTGTTTTTCTTTAGATTGAATGTATATTTTGCGTAAGCTGATGGAGTGGCTCTCTAACATTTCTTGTAGACAAACATCTGGCTCCTCTACAGTTTCTTAGTTAGGAAACTCATCCATGCTCCTAGACAGCAATAATAATTCCAATATACAAAAGTTGTTTTAAAGTATGTCTTTAGTATATATGGTAGTTTCCTAAAATATATATTGTTCTCAATGATAGGGTAGCTGTTCTGTACTACATAAGGTTTTAAAAATAGTGCTAGGCTGCATAGAAATTCATTAACTGTTAGTGAGAAATAAAATCTGCATTAGGAAAAAATTCTTTATGAAAATAACTTTTTAAAGGTATCATTTTACTCTTTACTCTTGGGCATAGTTTAATTATAAACTATAGTCCACATGCTTGCATTACTAGGAATACAAAAGAAACTAAATGTGTTACTATTGTTAATAACTGTAAGAATTATAGAGTGTGAAAAATATCCATTCACTCAAACAGAAGAGTCTAACTTTAATAAGTACAATTGAGAAAAGCTGTTTGCATGCTCCAGCCAATATTTAAACCCCACTAAGATCTTACTTAGCTTTGTACTATAGACTGCGTTCACCCAAAATTCCCATATTGAAGCCCTAATTCCTAATATAATATTCAAAGTTGGGGCCTTCAAGCCCCATGTTGGTCTCTGTGCTGACAGCTCAAACCTGGAGCCTGCTTCAGATTCTGTGTCTCCCTCTCTCTCTGACCCTCCCCTGCTCACAATCTGTCTCTGTCTCTCAAAAAAAAAAAAAAAAAATACATTGCACATGGCCAGATTTCATTCTTTCTCATTGCCATGTCGTATTCCATTGTATAGATAAACCACATCCTCTTGATCCATTCATCAGTTGATGAACACTTAGGCTCTTTCCATGTTTTGGCTATTGTTGAGAGTGCTGCTATGAACATTGGTGCATGTGCCTCTATGCATTGTAGCAACAGGGATGGAACTTGAGGGTGTTATGCTGAGCGAAATAAGTCAGGCAGAGAAGGACAGATATCATATGTTTGCGCGTATAGGAGGATTAGGAGAAAATTAATGGAGGACCATGGGGGAGAAGAAAGGGGAAAATAGTGGGGGAGAGGAAGGGAGGCAAACCATGAGAGACTCTTGAATGCCGAGAACAAACTGAGGGTGGATAGGGTGGGTGGGGAGGGGAAGGGGGGTGATGGGCATGGAGGAGGGCACCTATGGGGATGAGTACTGGGTGTTATATGGAAACCAACTTGACAATACACTATTTTAAAAAAATTTTTTAATACATTAAAAAATAAATAAATAATATATAAATAATAATAATAAAGAAATATCTCCTTTGGGAGATAATTAAGGTTGGATGATATGATGAGAGTGGGGTCCCAGTCCAACTAGATTAGTGGTCTTAAAAGAAAGACACCAAAAACTTGCTTCCCCTCTCTCCACCATATGAGTAGACAGGTAGAAGGCAGTCATTTGCAATCCAAAGACAGAGCCCTTACCAGACAATGGCCCTTCTGACACCTCAATTTTGGACTTCCAGTCTCCAGAACTATGAGAAAACTAACTTTTATTGTTCAAGCTATCCAGTTTATGGTATTCTGTTATGGCAGCCCAAACTGATTAACACTCTATGAATGGTATTTAAGAACTCAAAAGTTGATGTGAATTGTTTGACCATGAAGCCCTGGGATTTCCTTCACAATAGAAACAATGAAACTAAGATGTGATGTAAGACGTGAGAACAAGGAGATCACTACTGATTATTAAGGGAAGATGAGAAAACATCAAATACACCAAGGTGTATGCAGTTATCAAAACTAAAAGTGCAATTGCCTTAAAGAAAATGCACATTTGGACTTCTTTTTTTGTTTTTTTAATGGCTAAGTATGTGCCTAAATCTGTTCCTTGTTCAAACCATGACAGTGGGTTTGGCTTCGTGACAATGATAGCTGTGTGCTATCCTTTGAAGAAGAGATACCAACTCAATGCTCAGCTCACAGTCTTCTCTTAGGCAGAGATTACGGGTATAACAATCTAATGGAGGGAGAAAATAGTTCCATAGGAGGAAGGAAGATTTATTCATTACCATGAAACTACCCAGAAGCATAATTCCGAGACTCAAAAATTAGAGTCCATGTGGGTAAACTGCCCACTGCATGATTCCAGGAGTAAATGTGGGTAATAGCCTACACATAAGACATCACTGTTTCCTCACAGGAAGTCTTAACCTACTTGGACTTCAAGTTTCTCCAAATATAAAATAGGATGAAAGGGGGAAGCTGCCCATAAATAATTTCCAAAGTCTTCTCAGAATTAGCATCCTAGACTTCCTAAAACTTGATGATGGTTTGGCAGTTCTTTACAGACTCAAATTGTGACTCATTGGTGGGTCAGAAAATCCACTTACAAGGTCACAGTCAGCATTTTGTAAGAAGGTAGAAAATATAATAGAAACTATAGAGTGGATCACTCATAACAAGAGTATTATTTAGTGAAACTTTTGCTTCAGTTACACATTATACATACCATGAATACAGACACTGGGTCACAATGTAACATTCACCTTTTTGTTGTAAATGGCAGTTAAGAGTTTGAAATCACTACCCTCAAAAAGGCTTTAATTGCCCACTGTATATCATTAAAGACACCTCTTAACATACAGTTAGAAAAAAATAATGCAGGGGCGCCTGGGTGGCTCAGTCGGTTAGGTGTCACTTCGGCTCAGGTCATGATCTCGCAGTTTGTGAGATCAAGCCCCATGTCGGGCTCTCTCAGAGCCTGGAGCCTGCTTCGGATTCTGTGTCTCCCTTTCTCTCTGACCCTCCCCAGCTCACGCTCTGTCTCTCTCTGTCTCTCGATAATAAATAAATGTTTAAAAAAATTTTTTTAGAGAAAAAGAAAAAATAGTGCAGCCAAAGGACTACAATTGTGTAAGACAGCTGAAAGCCTTGATGATCTGTGCAGCGTCTGTGTAGAAATTTTGGCTGGGCAGGTGGTCATAGATAATCACACTTTGAATAGTGGCAACTATTCAACCTCCAGAAAGAACAAGGAGGTGGAGAGATGACAATACTCTAGGCCTTGCCTAACCAAAGAAACAGACTCTTAACTATGGAGAACAAACTGATGGTTGGGGGAGTGGGGAGGGGGGAGGAATATGAGATGGGGATCGAGGAGCGTGCTTGTGATAAGCGCCAGGTGTTGTATGGAAGGGTTGAATCACCAAATTGTAAACCTGAAACTAATATAACACTGTATGTTAACTAACTGAAATTTAAAGAAAAACTTAAAAAAGAAAAAAAAAACAAAACTCTAGGCCTTAGCTTATACTGAGAATGAGGACAAGTACTACCAGAACCCTAGCAGTGTGGCCAAACTGGATTAAGGGCACAGGCCTGATTGATTTAAAACAGCTATCTACCAGCAAGTAGGATGCAAATAGCTTTATACAACCGCCTATTTGGCTTTACAATCTCAATTTCCATAATGCTTTGATTTAACAAAGTTGAACCTGAAACAAAGAAAGCAGTTGTCTAAGAAAGGGCGGCGTTTCCCAGAGCGGGGACAAACAGGATGAGAGGCCAAAGCCGGAGCAGCGAGGTGACAGCAGAACCGGCTGAACCGTTGAGGAAGGTCAAACATCCTCTCAAACACGCACCCCTTCACCTCCAAAACAAACAGTGAATAAATTATAAAAGCAGTGGGATGTACAAGAGCTCCTCATAAAACAATCCAGGAAGATGGGCCTGAAGAGTATGCGTCTTAATAAAACTTCCTGAGCTTTTTTACCATCTTGCTTTACATTTACCCATGAGCTTTTCTCCTTTGCATCTATTTGTTTTTACAACACTGCTGTTGTCAAGAGTATCACCCGGACACTTGCTGTGGCCCTTTGAGCTTTGTGCTATCAGAGGCTAAGTCCAGCCAGCAGACACCCTGAAGTTCAGTGGGTTGACTTTTTTCCTAAAAACATTTTCTCAATTTCTGATTTAAACTCCCTTAGTCTCTTGGCCACATTAAGGCGATCTCAAATGGGTCTTATATAGATGAAACACCCAAGTTAGGAAGTTGTAGAGGTGAAAGGATTTAGAGGCATATCATAAATGAGATCTCAAATTATATCCAAAACCATTTAACCAAATAGTTCCATGTATTTCTTCTTCTCTTTTCCCTACTCCTTCTTCCTCACCAATTCTGATGAGACAAAGTTTTGGGTTTGGTTTCTTCTTGTTGGGGTTTTTTGGGGTTTTTTTTGTTTTGTTTTGTTTTGTTTTTTGCTTCTTTTGCAGGACATATCTTTGTGGAAATGCTAATGCAGGGACAGGGGCAGGATTGAATGATTAGAGAAACCTCCTCCCCCAACATTTTGTACAGTTAAAAATTGCTAATAATAGGGGCGCCTGGGTGGCTTAGTCGGTTAGGCGTCCGACTTTCGCTTAGGTCATGATCTCGCGGTTCGTGGGTTCGAGCCCCGCGTCGGGCTCTGTGCTGACTGCCAGCTCAGAGCCTGGAGCCTATTTCAGAGTCTGTGTCTCCCTCTCTCTCTGACCCTCCCCTGCTCACGGTGTCTCTCTCTCTCTCCTAGAAATAAATAAAAATATTTAAAAAAAAATTGCTAATAATAAATGCCAATGAGTTAGGCAAGATTTGAAATGACACAGCATAGTTAATGACACAGACCCTGTACTTGACTAAACTTTGGTCAGGCTCCTTTAACCCTTTGAGGCCTCCACCTTCCCTCCATTCTCATAGGGCCTGCATTGTCCAATTTTAGCAAGAATCCTCCATCCTGGAGATCTGATCACCCTGGCTTGCCTTCAGCAAGCATCTTACTAAGTTTGTGTAATGCCCCCCATCCCCCACAAAATCCCTAATGCTTCCTCCCTCTTGGTAATTTTCCATTCATTGACCCCACCCTGTTCCTTGGTTATAAATTGCCACTTGTCCGTGATGTATTTGGAAATGAGCCCAGTTCTACACTGAGGTCCCTTCTCCCCTGCTACAATATTTCTTGAAGACAATCTGTTCTTATTGCCTCAACCATTGTTGTACTATATTACAAATATAATAACCATGTAAGTGTACTACACATTGCATAAATTATTTTCTTCATTTAACAAATATTTCTAGAACCATATACGTATGGGTATAATACTGATGGGGGAAGAGGAAGGTGGAGGAAGCTGAAGGTTGACAACCAAGAAAGAACTAGCACAAAGGTAAGTCCTAACACCCTCCATCAAGAAACCTAATAATTGTGGCAGAAATAAATCACACACCAATGTTTATAAAACCAGAGAAAAGATGATAAATTCACAAGACAGGATGATCAAGAGCTAGGAATGTTCCTGTAAGGGAGAAATGATGTGCAGAGGAAACAGTCAAAAACAACTCTGTGGCTGGGCCTCTGAGAGAGTGACAGAGAGGGGATGTTGCCACAGGTGTGACTGGGGGACATGGGAAAAGAAATACATTTGGGAGGGCCATGTCCAGTTTGGTTTTAGACATGTCAAGTTACAAGGCCTGTGAAACACCAGATGGAAATGATAAGTGAGCTTTTTCCAAGAAAGGTAGAGTCCAGAGATAAGGACATGACTGTTTTCTGTAAGGAGATAAGAGCATGGGGAGAAGGGGGGGAGAGGGCAGATCAACAGAGTTTGGAAAGAAGAGAAATGCTTTGGAGCTTTGGGAACACATATATAATTTGTGCAAAAGCAGCAGAAGATGCCAGAGAACAAGAAGGAGTGAGATAAGCCCAAAACATAAGAAATCCTCTAGGTCAGTAAAATACAGTGAATGCCTGTTGTTCTTGCCTGCCTGAGATCCCCGTCTTCCGGTAACAGACCACCTTCCTGCCCCGGGAGCCTCCTTCTATGTGATGTAGTTGGGGCTGACCAGAGAACACGTAACCCATTCCCGTCCACTGTCTGGTAGAGCTCTTGAAACAAATCTTTTTTCACTAGGATTGCTACAAGCCTGGGGTTCCCTTAGGCCGTGTTTCCAGGATGTGAAAGAAGTGAACCAATATGTAGAGACAGACAGGTTTCGAACTGGGTTGCTAATTCCCTGTATACAACGTTGCCTAACGCTGGTTCTGCCCCTTGACTCTTCACTGACCTGAGACAATGAATTCCCTTGGTGACTTAAGCTAATTAAAATGAAGTTTTTTTCACGTACAAATGAAAGACTCTGGATTGATCTACAAAGTAATCATTCTAAAAGACATTTTTAAAGCTACAAAATGAATGCTACATTCAGAACCTACCAGGAAACAAAAAGATAAACTTTTCCACACCTTAAACCTTCTCCATTCTTCTTTTTCTCAACACATAGGTGGTTTTCTATACTTTGCTGTCTGGTCAAATGGCACAGATTAAATAATAAAGAACAATAGGACCACCTGATCCTGTACCCACTGTGCAAAGGGCTTCACACCACACCAAAAGTGAAATATCGTTCCATTCAAAATTCACCCCAAAGACAGTTTCAGATTCTGGTTTTCCATGTGCTTCTGCGGAAGCTGAGCAGTTCACAAACCCAGTCAGGACACTGCTAGTTGTGCTGTGTTCTCTCTTGTGAAGGTAAATGTAGGAAAAGGGAGCACCTTGTAATGCAGTTAGACTCACTGGCAATCAAAGTTAGAATGAAACATCAAGTCCAGTCAGTTTTTTAGGATGTCAAGTAACTGAATCACACAAACTAAATTTCATTACTAAGCCCTGAGGGAGCGGGAGGTAGAACTGGGATTAGAATCCAAGTCTGGAGGCACCTGTGTGGCTTAGTCAATTGAGCGTCCGGCTATTGATTTTGGCTCAGGTCTTGATCCCAGGATCGTGGATTGAGCCCTGTACCAGGTTCTGCACGGAACATAAAGCCTGCTTGGGATTCTCTTGCTCCCTCTCTCCTTCGGCCCCTCTTCCCAACTCTCTTTCCCTTTCTAAAATAAAATTTAAAAAAGAAAGAAAGAAAGAAAAAGAATCCAAGTCCAAAAAAAATCCCTGTCTACCTCTTTTTCTTTTAGTGACTTCTCTACCCTGCCCTGCTCTGCCACACCTGTTGTTTTATAGCAAGGACTACAGCTACCTTCTGGAATTTGCCGTGTATGTAGCTGAGATGAAAACCAAACAACTCCTCCTTCCCTATACCAAGTGAATGACTCATGTCCCATTCTTTGAAGAGATATGACAGGTAGGAGTCTGAATAAGATTCCATCCAAAATCTTCATCTGTTCTACTCTCATCAAAGCCAATCCATCCTCTCCCTCACTGACACTTATATATTCATTCACCAAACACAGGTCGATCACATCTTCTCTGGGCCAGGTGCTCTGATAGATGCTGAGAATAAGACATGGTTCCACCTTCAATAAACTCACCATTCAGTAGATAAAACATACATATATATACAAATGAAATAGCTATAGCACAATGTGACAAGGGGAACAGTAAAGATATGTGCAAGGTATTATGAGGGAAGAGATCTGGGAAGGCTTCCTGGAAGATGAGATACACGTGCTGAGGCTGAAATGCTAGGTTAGTGTGTTTGTTGGCTGGAAAGATAAGATACGAGCCACAAAAACTTCTGCCAGGCAGAAATCAGTAATGCAAGTAAGTATGTGATTAGTTGACAAATGAATTTTATAAGGAATAGTTATTACGTGCTGAGAAGCACATAAAAGATATATGCTCAATATATATCATTTCCTTTAATTCCAACATCAATTACTAAAGTAGGTTTAAGGAGAAATCTGGGATGAAGAAATGATAACTTAGAAAAGTAAGCTGTCCAAGATGAAACAACTCGTAAATGTTAAGACAGACTTCAAACCAATGTCTTTTTGCATTTTCTGACTTCTAAACCAACTCTCTTACTGCAATACCTGTATGTTTTGTTGGCTGAACACTGAGAAGAACACAAATAATGAAAGAGAGAACCATTGAGACCCTGGCAAGGAGTATACTCATTGGCCCTCAAGTGACTTGAGTCATAGAGTTAAATTACTCTTAGATCATATTTAGCACTCTACCCAAGGAGAAACCTCAAGAACAACCAAGCATCAGCCAGGTTTTCTCACCACGGTGAGAATTAAGGAGGAAATGCAAGATGGCTGTGACTCTTTGGCCCTCAAATAGCCTTCCTACCGGTCACCCAAACAAGAACGTTGGGCAGGCAGAATGACCACACTCACACAGCACACAGCCCAAAACCTGGCACAGTACCCTCAGCCACGCATCCACATGGCCATGTACTACATTGCCATGAACTGCTCTTGTAAAAGGATCATCAAATCTGGAACCCCTGGATGTGTGCCATTTTAAATGCTTTGCTTGTGTGTTACTACTTTCAATTCCATGTTTTTGCAGCTCAAGCAGAGGGGTGACCAGGTTGCTTCATTGGTCTGAGCTATGATCACATAACCTTATGACTGTGAGACCTGCACAACTGGCCATAGGTTGTTAGGAATGCGTTGAGAGGAGGAAAAGGTGAAGATCCAAAATAATTATTTAATGAGAACGAAACCTCTGGAATCCTTGAGATCATCTTTACCACAGTATTTATGAATACTAATACTAATAATATAACATTGTGCACCTGGCACACAGTAGGGCTCAGTAAATACTTGTGGAATGAATGCATGAGTAAATGCATACATGAACCCCTCACTTGTCTTCACAGTATTTTTCAGAGACAATTGCAAAACATTTTAAGTTCATAGTAGTAACCAAAACAAAATTATGAAAAAGCAAACAAGCACAGAATGTACAGTATACATTAGAGTGGTTCCAAGTGGCAACTAGCCAAAGCTCCCAACGGAACAACTTAAATATTGAAGTGTTAAAAAGGTGGTTTGAGTTTAACAACTGGGAGGCCATTTCTGACCATGAAACAAGTGAATGGTCCTTGTTCATCCTTTCAGGAGTGATTGCACAACGTCATGGAACCAGGGATTTCGACGCTCCACACTGGCAGCAGGCGTGTTCAAAGCCAGGATGATTGAAAACACCACTTCCAGATGCATTACTGATGCAATAATGGAACTACCAAACCTTAGTCACAAGGAACGTGAACACCACTTTCCAAACGCCCTTGATATTGCTCAACATATATACGAGCTGACTCACACTAGCCAACATTCTCCTGAACTTTTTCCCTCTTAATTTCCTCTTCAGTGTTTTTTCAACACAATTTTAAGATAAAAGGGACTTTTTTCTAGGGTTTGCACAGAACATTCTAGACACCTGATTTCTAGGTTTAAGAGGTGGCTAATCAAGCGATCCCAACTCTGTTTTCCCGATTCATTTTTCCGTTTTTTCCTCAATTTTTCTTACACTTCTTACTGAAGCCACTAGACTGCAGAGGCATTCCACCCAGAATGCATACACACACACACACACACACACACACGTGTGTGCACACATGTTCACATTCACTCTCAAAACTGTTCCTTAAAAAGAGACAAAAAGGGCCTTTCCGATATATATCATTTAAAGAAAATGCCTTGTTTTATGATACATTGTTCAGGGAAATAATACTATTATGAAACAATACGTATCAAATGACACCATTGCTATAAATAAGGTTAAATACAATCTGGAAATGTATGCTTCAAAATATTAACAGTGTTTCTCACTGGGTGACGAAATTATGAGTGATTTTCATTTTTTCCTCTCTGCTTCTCTATATTTCCAAAAGTCTTAGACAATGTATGTGTATTCCTGTTTCAGTTAGAAAAATAAAGTTAAATCATGGGGAGTTTCTTCAATCTCTTTTTCTAGGTTCCTCCAAACACAGTTAAGACAAGCTGGATTTTTTTTTTTTATTTTACTAGAGAAAAAAAAAACTTAAGCTATGACACACTTTTTAAAAGAAGTTAAAGACTTTTCTGATTTTACCATAGCTGTTGATCCATGTCTCAGCCCTGTCCCATCCACATGCAGTTTCTCAAGGCCCTCTCACCTCTAAAAGCCTGGCATGGTATCAGAGCACAGACACTCAGGATTCTTGACTTTCTGACCTTGACCCGCCTCCAGATGGCAGGAACCCCCCTACTTTCCACCACCAGTGAGGACAGCCTTCTCCCATTGGTTGCCAGGATCTAAAGGTCTGTGGGCCTTGCTGCTTACCAAGGGCCTCCCACTCAGTTCCCCCAGGGATAAGGTGTAGAAGATGTGACTGTTCTCCAGTCAGGACTGGGGCAAATGTCACAAGGGTGAGCTCATCCTTCAAAGTCATCTCACCTCTGCATACAAGGAATGACCTTATCCACCACAGCCCCAATATTATGAAAAATCCTTTAAGACCGAGATTCTCAAAGTGTGATCCAGGCACCCCTACAGATTGCCAAAACTGTATGTGTCAGGTAAAACTTACTTTTATAATAATACCAAGACTTCATTTTCATTCTTTTATGAGTGAATAATAGATATTCCAGAAGCTATGTGACATATGTGACAACAGACTGAATACAGGATCATATATGAGAATACACCTGTCTTCTACTAAGCCACCTGTTAGAGAGTTTTACAAAAATATAAAACAATACCATTCTTCTCACTAATTTTTTGTCATGAAAAACACAATTAAGTTTTCATTAAAAGATGTTAATATGGTATGGGCTTATTACTGTTATTTTTAATATATTAAATATTTAAATTTGTACTCCACATTAATTTTATAATGGTATATATCACTAGATATAAACAACACATAGTGAAGGTCTTTGGTGTTCTCAATGATTTTTAAGAGTATAAAGGAGTACAAACTTGGGACTGGCACCTAAGACTGACACGTAGGCACCCAGATACCACTGAATTGACAAGTTGGGAGCTTCCCATTGATCTTACCTAATGCATTTCCCACACTATTTATCCTATATCCCCATAAGATTGCTTCTATTGAGGGGCGCCTAGATGGCTCAGTCAGTTAAGCGTCCAACTTCGGCTCAGGTCACGATCTCATGGTTTATGGGTTCAAACCCCATGTCAGGCTCTGTGCTGACAGCTCAGAGCCTGGAGCCTGCTTCGGCTTCTGCTTCGTCTTCCTCCCTCTCTGTCCCTTCCCCGCTCATGCTTGGTTTCTCTCTCTCAAAAACAAATAAACATTTAAAAAATTGGTGTGCATTAAAAAAAAAGATTATGTCTATTGAAACACTGCCATTGTCACTCTGCTCCCCAAACAAAAATGAAAAACTTTCCTTCTGCTAAGAATCTAAAGTCCTAACACTGAAGAACTTGGTTATCTGTCTCCAATCTTCCTACTGCTTTTATCGCCCTCCAAAAGCATACTTGAACTCTCTATTCTAATTTTATTTTATTTTATTAATGTTTTTATTTATTTTTTGAGTGAGAGAGAGACACGTAGGCACCCAGTTATGCTATGAAACTTTCCCAGAATCCGCTTGCTGTGGTCCTGATACTACAGATAAGCTATACTAACATAGCATGTGAGAGTGAGCCGAGGAGAGGCAGAGAGAGAGAGGGAGACAGAGGATCCCAAGGAGCTCTGTGCTGACAGCAGACCGCCGGAGGCAGGGCTTGAACCCATGAACCATGAGATCATGATCTGAGCTGGAGGCAGACGCTTAACCAACTGAGCCACCCAGGCAACTCAAACTTTTTATTATAAATAAAAAGTTCTAATAAGTCTTGTATTTTACCTTCACTGTGACTTTGCCTGCCCCATGACCCTTACCTAGAATTCTGATATATCTCCTCTCAAAGGATCCAACTCCCATCTGTCCCAACCTTTGACCCCCACTTCCTCTGATTAATACTGCTATGCTCACTAGCTTCCTATGCCCATGGGTTTTTTGGTTAGCACTTACTGTGTGCTTCTTTGTATTATCATCTGTTCATGAAAACGAATATCTCTTTAGTAAGATCACATGAAGATCCAGAAATAGATATATTTCTTTTATATCTTCTTCAATCCCTAATAAGGCTTTGGACCATGTCAGACACTCAATTGATAACAATCACATATTTGACAGATTAAGGAAAGGAAGGATGGATGAAAAAAAATTAGAAACTACTAGCATATAGTATCTGAGTATAATTCTGAGAAATACAGCTCAATAACCTGAAAGTCATTACCACGTATTCACCTCTGAAGAGCCAAATTACCAATCACAAGTCTCTCTGTTATGCTATGAAACTTTCCCAGAATCCGCTTGCTGTGGTCCTGATACTACAGATAAGCTATACTAACACCAACTTTTCCAACTTGCCTAAGAACTATAAGCTATGGAGAAAATCCAAGTTTAAATGAGAAAAAAAAAAAAACAATTTTGGCCCAATGCAGAAATTAGAAGAAATAAAAGCTTTATTATTTCCTTCTCTGATCATATACAGTTTACATTTTAACATACTACTTCTTTTATACTATTTTAAAAATTTGTCTGCACCAAATAAAGGAATTGCTGGTTTACCTTGAATCAAATGAGACATTTTGGTTGATCTTAAAAGTTACTTTAGTATGTTAGTATAAAATTCAGTGTTAAAAGGTTGAAGTTATTCATTCATTCAATTAATATTTTCTGAATACCTACTAAATGTCAGATACTATGCTAGTTACAGAAAGAGAGAAAGTGATTGAAATGAACCCAATCCCTAAACTCTAAGGTCTTATAGACTATTGCAGGGTTTAGATATAAATATAAATAACTATAGCATGGCCTGGTAAGTGTTAGGGTAGGATCCATTAATGTGAAGAAAGGATAATTAGCCCACCCAAAAGTGTTGGGATTGTCAGAAGCTTCCAGGAGAAAGCAACTATCCAAGTTGAGATGTGAAGGAAAAAGGAGAAATAAGGTTGGAGAAATATAGGGGTAGGAATGTATACTGTAGGGCCTTGAATATCAGGCAAGAAGTATAGATTTTATTCTAACAGCAATGAGAAGCCATTTGAGGATGGTGCAATGATCAAATTTGCATATTATAGATTAACTCTGGCATGGAGATGGAGCATAGGAAGGGACATGGGGCAAGACTGGCTGCAGTGACAGCAACGGAAACATAGCAGACATTTATTGAGCACTTATAGCATGCCAGGCATATGACAGAATGGCAAGGTACGGTAACTTATTTAATCTCCACAACAATCCCATAAAGTAGGGAAAATTATCCCCATCAGACTAAAGAGAACCCTGGAGTTTAGAAAAATTAAGTCAGAACTATGTTGACCTTACTCTGACAGGACTTGTGTGCATTTGCGATAAGGGGAGAGGGGTTTCAAGAATCACATCCAGTTTTTCAGCTTAGTCAACCAACCAAGCCTACGGTGATGCTGATCACTGAGACTGGCAGACAGGGCTATCAGGAAGCTGTGATGGAGAAAGGATAGAGTTGATGAGCTCCATCCGGGATAGGGTTAGACCTGCTGAGTTGGGGAGGGGACAGAGTCGCACATCCATCGGCAACAGGATGTGCCAGGCTAAAACCTCAGTAGAGAAATCTGGACCCAGCCAACCTCCTTAGGGAGCATCTATGGACAGGTGACAACTTCAGTCAGAGGACAGACAGACGTTATGTAGAGGGTGTGTGTAAAATCAAAAGGAAGAGGACTTGAGGCAGAACCCTGAGGAACATCAATATTTAAAGGATGAGCAAAGGACACTGAAATGGAAAAGAAACAACAGAGAGTTATGAAAATCAAGGCACACATAGTCGCAGGCAAGGAAAGGGTGTGTTTCACCTAGGATGTGCTCAACACCAACACTAACACAGAGGGAAGGCCTGGGAAGCACCCACTGTATTTAGCAATAAGAAGGTTCTGTGTGGTGTCTTGCAGAGTAATTCCATGAAAGCATTGGTGACAGAGTCCACAGTGTGCTATGGAGTGACTGGAAGGTGAGGAAATGGAATGGGAATTCAATATTTCCGCTGGCTAGCTATATGCAGAAAGCAGTACACAAACACTGTGAGATACTCAGGGAATTCACAGCACAGGGGCCTCAGTAACCCAGCATCTGCCAAAACCCAGCAAGGTGGAGAAGAAATGGGCTTTCAGACTTGGAATGTCTGTTCTCCAAGACAAATCTGGTTACTTGGTGACTTTTGCCACTTGACTTATTTGTGTCTCAGTGTCTGGGCAAACTGGTATGTCTTAATTCTCCCATAATACTGTTTTGAGTATCAAATGCCAATAATCAGCAAATAGCATTGTAAGGTGGAAAAATAGCTGTGAAGGAATTGACCTCAGGGAGCTAGCCTTGACTATTGCAGAGACAACTTCAGCAGGGAAAAATAATAATAACTTTTTTCTTGTTTTCCTGAACAAGGGTAATATCAGCAGACAGACAAAACCTTGCTTCAAATGATTGTGCCGTTCCCGGTGGCTTCAAGAAGCTCACATCAATTCTACCTTGACATCCAGGCACATGAATGACAATAGGGGACACCTGGCTTTTTGGAAAATCAACCAGCCCCTCTGTGGGATGATTGTTCTTCAGCATGAGGAACACAAGCAGAAAGGGCATAGGTTTTGAAGTCCAGTCACTCTAGAATAGAATCCTCACTCTGCCACTTCTGAGCTCTGACTCTGAGTGACCATATTTAACCTAGCTAAGACTGGCTTTCCTCATGAGAATACCTACAACTCTTTTCCTGTGAGATTAGGAGGGTTAATGGGATGACATAGAAGTAAGTACCAAGCACAGTGCCCGGCACATGATAGCTCCATGTTAGCCTCATTCTTATTAGAACAGAATCTATTTCCTCTCCTAGGGTGAAGGTCCTACCCAGAATATTTCTTTAACTGGCATTCATCCCAAGATTAAGAATAGAGCCAATGTGTAGCTTTTCTTATTAAGGTGTGTAGGTGAAGTAAGCAAAGACTATCCCTAAATTCAGGGATCCCTGCTCCTAAAGAAAACTATACAGCATCATGATTTGATATATAAACTCAATTACCTGGTATCATCATAACACACATTTCTTAACAAAAGAGATTGAGTGTTTTCTAGCACATGTGCTCAATATTCACATAAAACAGGATCTGTGACCCAACTCAGAATCAGTCTACTGATTTTACCATTCCCTTTCATATGAAGTTTGAGCTAACTTCCATGTCAAACTTACCACAGGGAGATCAAAGTAGTCCCTGTTCTCTTACCTGCATTCCATCTAACAAGGCCGGCTAGGCGTGAAGGACTCGATTCTGTTGGCTTATAAAACCCATACAGAGATCCTGAGGTAAATCTATACTTAAAACCACAATTAGATCAATTTCTAGAAATGTACTATGGACTCCCAACCATTCACATATCAGTAGTGATGTAAATGTTGGATAAAAACAATAAAACACAGCCAATTCCTAAATATAGGCTCAGCAGTACCCTGGAGGAGAGGAAATGGTAATAACTTCATGCATATTTGAATACTCAATATTAATTCATTAGCCTATACACCGAAGGCTTACATTTTAGGAATTTATCACCAGTGTTTGATA